CTCGCTGTGCACTCTTTCTCTCCCTCTCTCACTGCACACACACACACTCTCTCTCTCTCTCTCACTGTGCACTCTTTCTCTCGCTGTGCACTCTCTCTCACGCAGTCTTCCCTCTCTCTCCCACTCAGTCCACATACCTACAGTGTCTGGTTGATTACTGGTAGGGCATCCCCCGTTGGTCCAACAGGCAAGCGGCCGTGAAGCATTTCAAAGAGAAGCAGGGAAAAGAAAGGAAAGGAAGGGAGAAAACAAAATAAAATTAAAAATGAAAGGTGACTAATCTGTACTTGTCCTTTCCAGTCAGGGAGCGGTGCAGCGTCGTGCTATTCTCGAAGCCAGGGGCATTTTCGTAATTTATCTCTGGRTCATCGCTGAATAGCTGRAGCAATCGCAATCGAACTTCCGGTTTCCACTGAGTTCTGGTCTCTCCTTCATGGGTGCACACCCATGGCTGTCACAGCCATGGTAGCACCAGCGAACTGCGTTCACAATGGTCGCCTCCCCTGGTGCGCCCCGTTCTCCCTCTGGTCTTCCCCCTGCTCCCGTGACTCTGCGGCCCGTTGTAACAGCAGGCCACTTGGTACGCCTGGCACACTGTCCCCAAGCGGACTAGAGCTCTCCTGTCCGATCCCATGAGTGGACTGCGTACACCTGGCGCACTGTCCCCAACTCCTTCCATTCTCCCCCATATATCCCAGGCACTGCCTCTAAAGAACGTCAAGTCCCCCCCCGACTTTTCCAATGGGAGGCCCGGTACTATAACACATACCCCAGTCACGGCGGCAGCCCCGGGCCAGTAGTACCATCGTAGCCCCGCTTAACCGGACCTCCGGACTTTGCGGTGTAGCAGACTCCAAAAAATAGACGCCGCGGTGCGTACCCCAACAGAACCGGAGCCGTACCAACTCGGAAATCAAGGGGCGCCGTGCAATAATGTCCCCCCATGATGSTACCGCACAGGCAGACGGTGGATCCACAATAATGTCGTACTTGAAATAGTTTGCCGTGTCGCCGCCAATCATGAAGTAGTCACGCCGTAGGGGCACCCGCAGGGGTACCGAAGCGGTATTAGCATGCCGTGGTCGAGCTAACCCTGAAATAATTCACCGCATGGGTTCCGAACCTAAAGTAAATCGTTGCAGTGGTCCCGGACCTGAAAATAAATCACCGGAGAGGTCTCGAACCTGAAATAAGCCGTCGTAACGGTATCGAGCCTGAAACGAAACTCCGCGATGCCACCGAATCTGACCAAACCCGCAATCCAGTACCGGGCTGCTGTGCCACGCGGATGCCGAACCCGTACAACCACGCCATGATAATT